TGCAGTGAATGGTGCAGTATATTTCTTTTGCTTCAGGACTCTCAGAACTGGTTTGTTTTCCTCCCTTGTACACCAGACTGGGAAGTGAGTTGGTGCAGTACTTAGTACGGTACTGTACTGCTGTGTGCAGTGGCTGATTTCAGTGAGTGTTCTCACGTGTCATCTGCTGTCATCTTAATTATCAAGCCTCCTGACAGCAAAGAAGATGCAGATCTGAACTATCGATTGGCTTAGCAGGCAAAGATAGAAAAACTAGCTTTTTTTAAAAAATGAACTCTTGAGGATAGATCAGAAGTTCGCATGAACTCTGGGCACAAGAGAATTGGCATGCCAGACCTTTCCCTGCCACGTATCTCCCACAAACTGATGTGACAGTCAAGACTCCATTTTTCAGATCTTTGCCAGCCAGTCAGCTGGCAGCCTTGGGTGAGGCATCTAAATTCCTCCTGCTATGGGTCGTGGGAACTGGTGTGCAGTACCATTGCTGGCTCTTCCAAGGGTACAGCCTGTGGAAAAGGCTCATGGCCCTGCCAGCTTGGACTGGTCCTTGCTGTTCTTGGTGCTTTAACTTCCTTCACTGTTGCACTGCCTTGACTGTGTAACTGTTTGTAGGGCCCTGCTATAACCAGGCGAGGACTCTGATCACTGACAATGTAGGTGGCTCGGATTTAGCTCCTTCCTCTGCCTAGAGGAGCTCAGGAGACCCATCTCAGGAGGATGCTCTAGCCAACATGATGTCTGCTTTTCTGAGATGGAGCCGTATTCATTCCCCTGATCGCAGCTGTGCACTGTGACCGCTGTAATTCAATATTCACTGGTCCAGAGGGAGTGAGAGAAAACACCTTTATAAGCCGATTATTAGGGCAATCGTGCAGGAGGGGGGGACCTGCCCTGTGCTTCACATGGAACATTTACATATTTCTTGGAGGAGAAATGGGGTTGCTAGATAAAAGGGGTAATGTCACCACCTTCTTCAGCCAGGCTTGAATGAGGCCCAGGTGCTTGGAGCGTCCCTACTAGATAAGGCTCCTTTTCTGAGTGTGAAGGGGAAGAATGCTTGATGGATGCTCTGAGCAGGAAATAAGCATTTAGACCTCAATTTTGTTACCATTTAAGCTGTGTGTGGTTTGGGCATTTCAGACCCCTGGAGAGCAGAGGTGATGCCACCCCTAGGCAGCTGGGAGCAGGAGCTGTGGACTGTGCTGTGCTGCACATCCTTGGAGAAGGACAGAGTCCTTTCCGTCCCAAGAATTTTCATCCTTCTGTTGCCATCGTCTGACCCCAGGCTAACACACCATGGCTGCATGTGCAGCGTGGCTAGGTGGCATTCAATTGCTGCAACTCAAAGCAGCGAGGCCTTCAGGTCACTACGGTCCCTGTGTTGCACACTTGCGCAGGGTGCTAGCTTCACAGCTTACATTCTCACATGCCTGTGTGTACTTGACCAGCACAACGTGGTCTGGCACAACCGCACTGCACAGGTCTTTCCATGTCTCTTCCATCCCCCTTACCCACTTTCTTCCTCCTGCCCCCCTTACAGGACTTCCTGCACCTTTTCTGCCCTCCTAGGCCTTTTTTCCCTTTCTTTTAGCCTGTGCCCACTTTCCCCACCACCATATACAAGCTATGATGCTCCTACAGCCGTTTGCTTCCCACTGTATCCTTGGGACTGGTCTTTTCCATGCTGCTGAGACCCGCAGGCTGGCCAGGTGCCTCCACCTTTGAAAGAAAAGCCACTTTCTACTTCAGCAGCTTGCTTTAAGACATTACTCATTCTACTCCCCTGGCAGGTTTAAAAATCTAGGACAACTATGGCATAGAGTGCTTCATTTCTAGGGTGGAAGAATGGCTATAGTCAGGTTTTTTACCAGCAGCAGTCTGAAAAAGTCTGGTTGGGCATTGGGTTTACTAGCCGGGACTGGTGACAACTTCTATAGAGGCAGGTTTATTTTCAAGAATTTCTGCTTTGAGTGATGGCTACAACCAAGGGGCCTTCAAATCTTACCCTGCTGTGACTGTCATCCCATGGCCTGGGACTACGCTCTGCCCTCAGCTTCAGTTTGAACACAGTACTCTGTGGTTACTCAAAACCATATATTTTTAAATTGTGTCTTATGAGGTAGCAGGTTTAAGTGATTGCTATTTAACGGCTGCGATGTCCTTTGTTTCAGGAAGCTGAGACCATCTCCAAGTCTTGCAAAGAGCAAAAGAAAGTAAAGAAGAAACCAGCCTGCAGCCCTGGGGGAGTGTTTGTGAGACTGCGTTGAGGAATGAACCTCCGAAGAGGGGCAGGCAGACCAAGGAGGTAAATGCCAATATTCTAGACAATGCAAAGTGTTTGCACAGCCCAGCTCCACAAAAAAAGGCAGAAAGTCTTCTCTTCCTGTCCAGGTAGTAGTTTAGCAACAGGTTTGCAAATTATAAGGTGACATTTCAAGAGTTCACTGCAGCAGAGTCATAGGCCCTCCTAGGTCTGAGAAAAGTATCCCCATAGGGATGGGGAAAGAAAAAAAAAAAAAGCACCACCTTACCTCCCAAAATAATCAGGTAAGACCTTCACTGTGGAACCAGAATAGAGCGTCTGGGAAAAGTACTTCTGCAGACAGGTGCCAAGCCCCTTGATTTTCATCTCAAGTCATTCCTAAATAAGCCAGGAAGCTATTCCTTCATGAGGTGCCAGATGAACTGCAACGGTGGGCCTCCGAGTCTAACTCAGGGCTGAGGAGTTCACTATGTTACGGGGCATGTTGTGGATACAGGCAGCAATCCTGACCTTTCCTCCATGCCTAAAACATTTCATGATTTCACATACAAAGATTTTTCTCTCATCTCTGCGCTACTGTGAAATTCTTTTCTCTTTGAAACCCTCATTATGCATAATGAGGGTTTGACTGCAATAAGAAATCCTTGCACTATTAGGTTAATTTGCTAGTGCTTGAATCCTGATCTGTCCTCTCCTTAGTTACCAAAGGAAACTTAATCTTTTAAAGGTACTGAAAATAAAAAACCAATTTTTATGTACACAGACTGAGAGAGAGGCATGCTGAGCAATGGCATAACCCTTGATTGGATCTAAAGAGGAGAAATTCAACCTCTAGAGCCCACTTCAGTGTGTAGGGGATGATGGTGGTGAGAAGCTGCAGTAGATGAGCTATTTCCTACATCATCGTTGGTGCTAAATTCTCCTGTAGGAACAGTGCAAAAGTTCAATGTGAGTCATTCCACATCCAGAGAAGGGAAATGAAGCTGGTGAAGGGTCCAGAGCACAAGTCTGATTAGGAGCAGCTGAGGGAACTGGGAGTGTTCAGCCTGGAGAAAAGGAGGCTGAGGGGAGACCTTCTTGCTCTCTACAACTCCCTGAAAGGAGGTTGTAGCCAGGTGGGTGTTGGTCTCTTCTCCCAAGTAACAAGCGATAGGACAAGAGGAAATGGCCTCAGGTTGTGCCAGGGGAGGTTTAGATTGGGTATTAGTAAAAGTTTCTTCACTGAAAGGGTTGTCAGTCACTGGAACAGGCTGCCCAGGGCAGTGGTAGTGGTTGAGTCACCATCCCTGGAGGTATTTAAAAGCCGTGTAGACGTGGCACTTAGGGACATGGTTTAGTGGTGGACTTGGCAGTGCTAGGTTAATGCTTGGACTTGAGGATCTTAAGGGTCTTTCCCAACCTAAATAATTCTATGATTCAGAGAACCTCAGAAAGGGTAGTCATTTACAAGAAGATGGATTTGTACGTGCAACAGTTAAACCAGACACAAGTGGCTGCTGGCTACCTGCTGAGATCCTTGCTGACAGCACCCACGCCTATTTGACAAACACACAGGCAACAGCAAAAGCAGCCTCAGGTCCCAATATAATAGCACTGTGCCTGTTGTAAAAGCCACACTTTTACAGTCTGGTAATCTGTATTCAAGTCTTTCAGGCAGTCAGATAGCAAATATAAGAAATTAATTATCATGAAGATACATAATTTAATGCACAGAATAAGAATTACCATGATACCAGCAAGTTCAACTGTAAACAGAATAAAACTGCAATAAAAAAATTCCCACTAATCAGTACTACATACTCTTTAGCTCATAAAGGGCCTACTCTTAAAAGCTTAATCCAGGAAGATTTTTTAAAAATTATTATTTTATTAAAAGAACCAAACCAAGCATATGCATTTATACTCAACAATATGTAACTGATTCAGTTTTGGAAGGCAAACACCTGCTATGTCCCATCTCTGCAACAAGAGTTGTGAAGTCCTTACAGAAGGTAGAGAGGTCATCACCAGAAGTTAGAGGAGTCAGCGTGTCCCACAGGATTACAGAAGAGTCCGGAGGAGCGTGGACATGGGAGGAGGATAACCACCACCACACTGGCACCACTGAGATGCTGAGTATTTCCATGTTATAAACCAGATCCTATGCCCAGAAAATACGTGAGGGTTTATTGGAAATACTCTACACTACTTGGAGAAGTTAAGAGCAATTAGCTGCCCCAGGGCTGTACACAGTTGCTGAGAGTGGAGGCATTTCCCCTTGGAAAGACAAAGACAGAAAGTCTCCCATTCTGTTGACCTCTGGGGTTACAGAAATTGCAAGAGATGCTAAAAAAAAAAAAAAAAAAATCTATGGAGACATTTTAGTTCTACATGAAATTTTAAGTGTATGTAAACCAGTTTTCAAGAAAAACAAGGATTCTTCCGTAAAGGCCTTGGAGTGTGCGTTTATATATAAATAAAACCCCCCGAAGTGCCAGGCTTTAATCCATCAGAAAAGAGAGGAACAGACTGAAGGCAAAAATCCAGATCCTATATTTAAGATTAACTTACTTGGATCAGAGTAGATCTGTTGGAACCTAGCATTAGTATTCCCATATTGGGAATACTAACTTGGGAATAATATTTCCATTTCAAGGGCATATCAAATGTTTACTATTTCCATTTCAACAGGAGCTCAGAGTGTGAATGTTCTATTTAGAATGTTCCAAAAGAAAACAAAATTAATTCTAGCACATATTAGGGGATAAGGAAATAATACTATTTGCCTACTTCCCCCCCCAATTATTTTGATCTGTAGTGCTACATATTCGGAAAATATTTTTACGGCACAGTAAGAATATCAAAACAAAAAGGTACCAAGGTTATGTACAGCGCATACATGATCGTCTAACTGATGTTGCCTGGGCAGCCTTTTCTCCATCCGTATTTGATGCAGTCATTCCATTTAAATCTATTTCCAGAACCTGTAAAATCCCAGTGCTATTGCTAGGCAAGTGAATACTGAAGCTGTTAAAAAAGAAAAGGAAAGGAAATAATTAGCTGAATGTTAAATTGTATCACCTTCTACATACAGGAAATTAACTGCAAACAGATGGAGGAATGATAGAGGAACTGTAGAGCACAGCCTCCTAAAACTTCCTGAATTGCTGCAGGTGTGACAGAATAATTTTAGAAGACAATGACTTGTCTTAGATGTAATATCCTGCACAGCAGCACTGCCCAGGTGGTGAGATGGGAGGTCAAATTCAGCGACCTGAGGAACTGTGTTTCCAGGGACACATCTGAATAACTTGACAGGCTACAGTAACTTTTACTATTGTCACCCATCAATAGATTGTGTTACAATAATAAATTTTATTTTATCCAGCTCCAATACAATGAAAATTTCACCGGTTATGTATACATTGAGAAGATGGTCTCAAATCAGACTGAAATTTGTTCTGCTTGGCAGGGAAAGTACAAGTACTGCCATGCTGAAGCTGTGTGTTTGTGGAGGACTGAATGGGAGGCACAACTAGTCGCTCTCAGACTAGCCCTGAGTATCAGCAAACTTTCAGGGTAACTTAAATAAGCTCAGGAGAACTGTTGGAGCAACTCTGCCACATAAATGGCTGCCGTGCAGCAAGCAGAGGTACTGCCAGACTAGACAAGGTATTGAGGCTTCTTTCCTACTCTTGAAAAACTTTAAAAAAATCATGTCCATGTTCCACCTAATCCCTGTTCTGGGTGCAATCCCAGTCCAACTGCAGCAGCATCTGCATGTTCCCACCTCTTCTGTGTTCTCTGTCACATTTCTTTCAACTGGGGAGGGTCCCGTCCCCCTCCAGTCCCAGTTATCTGCTATTACACAAATGACTTCTTAAATTCACTTTGCATATATTCTTGAATAAAGTGTTACACATCCAAAACACAATACTGGCACTCACCTTCTCGCCTAGCACGTACCTGCCAAATAACGTATTGTATCGAGTTTATTTGATTCCATGAGTGTTTTTAAGGAAGCTATTTCAGTGTCAATTTTATTACTGATTTCTGAGATGACACTGTTGGTACTTGAATCCTGAAACATTAAAAGAAAGCATATATTTGACAGTGATCCCTAGCCCTTTCTGCTTTGCAAAGCCCAACAAGAATACCATGCTATTGGCAACAAGAAAGAGAAATAAATTTCCAACCTGTCACTGAAGTAAAATATGTAACTGGTAAGAGACCTTAGACGACACAGAACAGCATTTAATACAATCCAGGAAGAATATTGAAGAGAAAGATAGAAAAAGAGAAAACTCAGATCATACAGACTTTTTTCTCTGATATGCCAGTTCCTCCTAAAAGAGGCATTCTACAGCGCACAGATAATATCCCTAAACTTTTGCGAAACAAAGGTTTAAGCATTCACAAGCCATCTCCAGAAAGAGGGGACATGTCCATCATCAGCTTCAGACTTCAGTGCCTGCTAGCAGCTTTGAGGACTTCCAGCCCCTGAAATTGTTGCTTGCCTGAACCGTCCCTCTGCTACGGCCGATCAGCTCACCTGTTAATAGTGGCAGGGCAGCATAACAGCACACACCCCACCTGTAACAGCCTGCACCTAAGATACTCGGGATGTGAGAGACAAGGCTTGGATGCCTCCCTCTGCCTGAACAGTGTTCACTGGAAATCCCACAGACTTAGGCAATAAACACGTACAACAGGCCTGAGTGAGGCAGCTCAGCCTTTTGCTTTACCACATTCAAAAAATCTATTAACTTTCAGGAAAGTTTAGGGTTCACATAACACACAGCACAGAAATGCTCAATGCAAAATGAGCTTTGGTCAAGACTTACTTTTTTATGAAACTCTGTAGTTGCTTCCATCAGTTTCCTCTCCTGATCTGTAAACTGTGGATAAAAGATAAATTATTAATTGTAGTAATGGAAAACAAGACACAGCACTGATAAGGGTATTTTCATAGACCAGCTTACCATATCTGTCACTCGGCTCCTTTCCAGGTTTATGTCGAGCTTGCTGTCTGCTCGGATTTTACCGGTTTCATTCTTTAAAGCAAATAAAGAATATGAAAATAACTATTTACTTTCCCTAACAGGAGTGTGTAGGTACTTGCTGTTTACTTACCATTAGCTGCTGTTTAACTTGATCTAATTCAATTTTCATTTTCTAGGTGCAGAGGAGAAAAATAAAAAACAATTTTACAAATTCAGAAAACTGCTAACCAAGTTAATCAGTCATGTAAGTGTTACTACCGTGTGCATGCAATTGCTCTTCCAGAATTTTGTTCTTGAGTAAATATCCTAACTAGTGTGTTCAATCTGTATAGCCATATATAATCTGCTGGGAATTTTCCTCAAAACAAAGGGATTATTTTTAAACATTGATGATCTTGTTATTCTGAGACTAAAGACAGCAGAAAAATATCAAAATGCTGCCAAGCAAGACCAGAATGTGTCTCAGTGACCAGTTTAATTAAATTGCTGACTACCCTCCCTGCATTGTATGGTTAATGGTGACAAGACTGTACCAGAATTGCCCTTAAATAAAAATAGAGAAGATGATTCTAAGAGGTGTAGATTTTCTTTTCTTTACAGAGGAACCAAACAGGTCTTATCACATGAAATATATTTTTATATGACCACAGAAGATATAATCTATAAACACTTCAACTCTGATAAAAGTATCCACCATTACTTTTACATTCATATTCTGTTCCGCAAAAATGTACAACAGGTATGACCCATATATTACAATTTAACTGCTTAATTTAAAATAGTTTTTAGTACCTCATTCTCTGCTCTCAAGTTTGCAAATTCACTTTTCTCCAGGATGACCATATCTTTTCGAATGGAATCCAAATGTGCCATTATCTGCTGCAAAGTTATTTCCTTAAAAACAATAAAACACATCAATGAGTAAGTTTCACGCTTTCTGGTAAGTAAAGGAAAGTAAAGATTTTTAGGTCTGAAATTATGAAATTAGCTACTGCAAAGCAAAAAAAAAAGGGAGACTCTCCAACAGGAAGGTGACAGAAACACAGAATTTTATAGCTGCAATTTGTTTGAAAGACTCAAGGTTTGGGTGCTGTGCTTTTTCTGTTGCTTTAATACACTAACTCTGAATTTAAGCAACAAACCCAGAGGTATTAGTCCAAGTCGCTATGAAATGGAATAGACCCGAAACTTCAGGTCAGTCCTTCACTCTCTTCCATTTTCAATGAATGTTCGGTAGCCTATAAAGCTTTAATTGTTGGTTTGAATTCAGTTCCTAAGTAAGCACTTTCATTTCTTGCACACAAAGTCATCAAAAGTCAAAGATTTAATGTTATGAGTATCACACCATCCTCAGTGTTAAAAGTGTGAGGCAGACTAGTAAAACATTGCTGAGAAGCAATGAAAAAAACCCTTCCTGGTGTTTGGACTAACAAGTTCAGAATTCAACTGCTATTTATAAATGACAGAGTCAAAAAAATAAAGAAAATAAAGGAAGAAACTTTGTATTTTAGAATCTCAAAAGCAATATTCCTTTAGCTAGCATAAGGAAGTTACCCTACTGTTTAGCACAGAAAATGACATATCTCTGTGGGATTCTGCTTCTAAAGCTGATAGCCAGCAAAATGAAGAGCTCTCACTCAGACTACAACCAAACAGTGTTTCTCAGATCCTATGTTGAACTAAATTCATTAAAATATGCCCTGACCCAACTTCCAGTAAAGTCCGACTACTTTGTTGAACACAATGAAGTTTTTACAATTCCTGGGAAAACTTCGGTTGCATTTACACTGAGGAGCTAATTTGCCTCATCCCATCTGAAAACATTTTCAACACTATAAAAACCAGTGTCTCTGCCTAGTGCAATTCCGTGCAAATTATTTGTGGCATACTGACTTTCTTTACATATAGCAGGAGCTCCAAAAAGAATGGTTTCCATTTTGATGAAAAAATCCCCAGTGACACAAGTTCTTTTCTTCTGAGATTTATAGCAAAAAAGAGTTTGCTAACTTTTATAAGATAAACGCCAGTAAGATAAAAAAATCTGTTGGAAGTAAGGCTCAGCAGTTTAAATAAAATAGCAATGAATGCTTAATTGCATTAACTCATTGAAGAAGAATGGCACATAATTTCAGCTTGCACAGCCGTCCCGAATAATTAGTAAAACCATTACTGTGCATCAGAGCTTTATTATCCTGGCCCAGATGTCTAGCTGACAAGAAAAACTAAAGTTCCTTTTATTTTGGCAATTTGTTACGATGAAACTTGTCACCACCTGTATTACCAACAGAAAAACCAGCCATGCTACTTAACCGATTCACTGCCTCTAGATATGTCCACAAACATGAACTTGAATATCTAAGTGAAGGAAACACTTCGATGCTTTGCTTGAGTGCAGGCGAACAGCTAGGTTTATACCAACAACTAAATAATTCAGAGCCCGCCTGCTGTCCCTGAGGGCAAGTGACATGCCACAGAACACGTCCAGATGGCTAAAATATCTTCCTCCTAAATCAAGGTGGTTCTGTCCACCCTGCCAGGTAGGAGCAGTTCCTGGGCCTGTACTTACGGGTAAATCGTACCCAGGTCAGGCAGACTGAGAGCTGGCATAGGGCAAAATCACACGGAGGTGCCACAGTAACTCGAACTCTGGGACAACCACGTGGTGGTGTTTGTGCCCACACCCTAGCCCTGTTTTACTACAGATGTAGCTTTAAGTAAAATCATGAAATAGTTTTAATAGTAGTTTTTAGTTTATGAACAAACAAATAGGACCAATACAGCATATCTGTGAACAGAGTCGATATCTTTACTAAAGTTCAACAAAACACTGACATTTTTCGGATATTTTAGGTGATTTTGTCACCTCTCAGGAGCCCATCTTTGAATCTCTCTTCTGCCCTCAACCATTGTAAAGCACAGTTAAAAGCTGGGTTTCACACAGAGTTTGTCAGCAGCAAATGAAGCAATCTCTGCTTTACATTTATACATTGTGGCTGTGTTTGGTAAACACTCCTGTAAGATGAAAGCTGTAAGATATTACTATTCTTAATACCACCTTTAAACTTAGGAAAAACTATCTCAGTGAAGTGCTTATAGTACTATAGAGTTCCTCACTTGTTTTTTTAAATACGCAGATATGAACCGTTATAGCTACACAGTGTTGTATACATACACCACAGATTACTTTTTACCTGTTGAGCCTGTGTAACCATATCCTTATAGACTGTGTCTAAGCTGACATTCGACAGGGTTATTAATGCCGATACGATGGTCTCTGCTTGTTCCTTCCCAAAGCCTAAAAGACAGTTGAAAGATGACAAGATAATATTTGAAAGCTGGATGAAGAGAAGAGCAAGAGGTACATAATAAACTGGGGCACTCAAGTGCTGTACCTAACTACAGTGGCAAATTAGAAGTCACACAATTACTGAAAACTGACAGTGAGGAGCTGGTCACTGTGGCTTTTAACTAGAAAAAACACAGACTTAATACTGCAAAAAGCTGAAGCACATTAACTTTGAATATACTGCAATAGCCTACGCACGCAGCTGACAGGAGGACTGAATTTCTGTTCATGCAATATAAAAATAATTCACCGGAGTTTGACTTTATAATGAACTTTCACCAATTCTGTTAAAACTAAGCTTACCTTGAGCTACAAAGCCTGCATCCTATAGAATAAAATTAAAAGGTAAGTCTACATATATTGAAATGTTGTGCATAGATATGAACACACACAAACCTGATTTTAAAACTGCTGCGTGTGTTGCCTGCAAAATGAATTCAAACTGGGATTTTTTCTTTCTGATGATAAAAATTACACTTTGTCCATAGCTTGGTGCAATTTTGAAGTGTTAAAGATGATGTGTGATGAATAGTGAAAAAAAACCCCAACACCCAGCTGTCATATTAGCCATATCTGATCTAGTGCTGAGAGCTTCGTCCCTAAGATTTATTTCCAGCAGTCTCACTGATGTGTTAGATTTCAATTACCCCATTTTATAAAGTGAGATTGATTAAGTTTTTGTTGAAAAATGCTTTCAGGGAAAATTACGTAGAGAAATATGCCACTGCTCCCTTCTAAAATACTGATACTGTCAAGCCACACCATTGGTTTACATTACCAAAAAAGCTATGCATGCTTTACGACAGTTTCCGTCCACTAAGAGGTGTGAGAGCATTGCTTCAGTTCCTCTGAATTTTCAGGGTTACTTAGCGTTTGTTTTGCCAATTCATTATTTTGTTTCTCCTCTATAGCAGGAACTGCCCTTGTTGCATGGAAGTTTAGAAATACAATGCCAGTTTTTAAAAACAGTTCCAGAAGAGATGTAGGGAACTACAGGCTGACAAGTCTGACATGCATGAAAAAAATAAACATTGTTAGTGGATTATTAGGAATCTTCTAAGTACCAATACATATTATTATTAGACCCAAATAGTGGAAAAAATCCTAACCTCACATTGTATAAAGTTCCTACCGTCACTTAGGAGCAAGATCTTGGGATTTTAAAAGATAGTTGCGAGTCTGATGAAGGTATCAGTTCAATGCTTAGTAGGGATCAATAAAGCAAACCAAATCCTTCAGAATTACTAAGAAAAGGAGCAGAGAACAAAACAGATGCAGCATTATTACAGGAAAGATGCTGAGGGACTGTTTATGAGGGAGTGCAGTGACAGGACAAGGGGTAATGGGTTTAAGCTGAAGGAGGGTCGATTTAGATTAGATGTTAGAAAGAAATTCTTCCCTGTGCGGGTGGTGAGGCACTGGAACAGGTTGCCCAGAGAAGCTGTGGAGGCCCCATTCCTGGAAGCATTTAAGGCCAGGTTGGATGGGGCTTTGGGCAACCTGGTCTAGTGGAGGGTGTCCCTGCCCATGGCAGGGGGGGTGGAACTAGATGATCTTTAAGGTCCCTTTCAACCCAAACCATTCTATGATTCTATGATTATGTCACTGTTCAAATCCACGGGACATTCAGTTGTCAAATAGTGCCAGGAGCTCTGTTCCCTCCCCTTTGAAAATGTGATGAAAGTGGAAAAGATTCATAGAACGGCATCATGAATAATCAAAAATGTGGAAAAACTATTGCTGAAAGAAAAATTCAACAAGCTAGGATTCCTCTGTTTGGAAAAGAACGATGGGGGAATATGACGAAAGTTTACATAATCATGAGTGACCTAAGAGATCAAATGTTCATTCCCTCTTCCCACAAAAGAGGTGAGTGGGCATCAAATTAACCTTGTAGAAGCCAGGTTCTGCATGGACTAAAGGAGTGGAGTCTGAAACTCCATGAGAAAGGACGTTTTGGGCACTAACCTGTTTATAGCGGTCCAGGGACTAAATAAGCTTGTGAAAAGAATTCCACTGAAGGTTGCTAAAACTCACACCTGATCCAGACTACCTCCAGGGTGAAAACAGTTGGAGGCTTAGAAAGTACAAGGGGATGTGTCGCGTACATCTGCCCCCTTTTAACGCTCTTCTGCAGGCACTGACTCACAGCTGCTGCCAGGAGACAGAACCCAGGGCTAGAGGGACCTTTCATCTCACTTCAGCCAGCCATGCTCACAAAATAAAAGTGCAAGTATTAAGAATGTATCGTGGCACTACGCTGCTGCAAGTATCCCTAGTTAGAAAAAAAAAAAAAATTACAGGCTAGTAGAAGGAACTTCTATTAAAGCTTCATTTTTGCTTTAACTGTTACTTCACATTTGTTAGCTGTATTATGTTCCTGGCTGCAAGACACTATATAAACTTGCCTACAGCTAGAAATAAGGTAAATCTAATGTAATAGTTATTTGTACAGTTACAGAGGCATCACAGTCAGATGTCTCTCCTTCACCAGCCTCTGTGAGAGGCTGCCAAAACATTTTATAACACCAAGCATTGGTACTTCGGGAAAATTGATAGTGCTCAAAGTTACAGTACTTAAATTCAAAGTTTTCCTTTGAATTATTTATCAGATATCACTTACCATGGGCTTCCAGATCCTGCACTAAAGCGTGGGTATCAAAAGTTACCTTCCTCTGCTCCAGGGGAGTGATTTCAACTCTTCTGACATCGTATGACTTCCTAACGAGTGTGGCAGCAAAACCTGGAAGTGACAACATGTGCTTTAAACTTAACCTGGCTAGTTTCTCATGCAACACAGTAATTTTCATTTCTTTCATCACAGCAAAGCTGCATGGAAGTTATAAGAAAAAGCTAGGTCCTTTTGATAGCTTGGTTATGGCACACATCAGAAACCATCAATCCCTGCTCCATAGGAAATCTATACCAACTAGGACTCATATATCGATCTTAATTGCATTTGTATAACCAGGAAGCTGCGCAACAGACAAGCATCCTAATGCACCAAAAATACAGCTACCACAACCAATTGTTTTTGTAATATTTGAGGTACATCACTTAAATAATTTTTCTGCTTTTAAAACATCAGCAGTTCTAACACACTGCAAATTTCCGCTGGTTACAGTTAACATCATTGATTTGATTGTTCACAGAATCCCTCAACCACGTTCTTTTCCCACTTTCTTCTATGCCTAGCCATTCCAGCAAGGAGAGTGCCTTGTGTAAATATAAAAATACAGATTTATTTTATTTTTTTTTTAGAAAGTCATACAAATCTAATGTTCAGAATTAATTTCTTGGTTCACCAGGAAAGTAGTTGGGAAACAAATAGATATGATCTTTGTACTTAAGACCTCTGAGATACGAATTAAAGACCTACCCTATTTATTACGTGAATGCCTTCCCACAAGATGTTCACTGCTTCTATTTCAAGCATATTTCTCCCTTTGTCTCATCTTTGTGGGGCCTTGCATGCTACAGATTCCGTTCTGACAGATTCTTTGTTATCTATAAAGCCATGTTACTTCTAACTCCACGCTTATTTGAAACCTTTCTAACTACTCTCTCCCTTAACCAAAATGCTGTTCTGTACCTTTACTCGAAAGCTTTACGTCATTTAAACAACAGGGAAGTTATATGGTGCCACTGCTAGATAAATCAAGGTACGTGCGACCTTGTATCCACTCTAAAGAAGTGACTATAACTAAGCCAGCTGGAGTAGCCAAACCAAAGCCTGTGTAAGATTTAAGGGACAAAGGAAAGATCTGTGTTTAACTACATACACATCGAATAATATGTACAAATAATTTTAAACAGCTCTAACATTTGCAGCAGAATAAATCATTCTCTGTCCACAGAATCACAGGAGCTTTTAAACAGAGCACAGCTCTTTGTCCTCTAAATGTGTCAGTGGATTTTTTCACTGGGTTGAACAACTATAATGCAGAGATGATCTCTCAAAAAAGCTGATATTACAACACGAAGCTTTCAGTTGCCTTGCTGCTGTTTTCCCTACTGCTTCGCTCCTGCATTCCTGACTGGGTGCACGGCGCTCAACCCAAGGCTGTCTTCAAAACTCCCCGGTGGTTTTTTCACAGACCGCACCTGAGACACCACTTTGCGATGCCCCTCCGCACCCCGTGGCTAACTAACTCCCGTGGCTCCCCCCCTCCCGGACGCGCTCCTCGCCCACGGACTCGCTACAGCCCGAGGGAGACGCTGGGCACTCCCTCACACACCGCCCCGGGACAGGCCGCCACGATCGC